GTCCACAACCAGTTACCTCTCAGAATTCTGTCAGGTTTCCTTGAAAATTCTCTAAAAATTATTAATACTCCTGGGTGGGGGAAGAAAATGAGAGAGTAAAGTGTTTTGCCCAAGAACAAAACACAAGGGCCCAGCCAGGGCTGGAACCCACATGTCGCAACCCAGAGTCCAGCACACTGACCATAAGCCCACAGCGGTTTCCACCAATGCAATGGAACCTGATTGAAATCCAGAATTCCCTGAAACTTATTTATAGCCTTTGATGGGAAAAGGGATTATGAGAGCAAAATGTTTTGCTCAAGAACACAACACAATGTCCCAGCCAGCACTGGAACCCACCGGGACTTCTCAACCCAGAGTTCAGCACACTGACTGTAAGCCGACTTTGGCCGCCGCTGATATGTAATGGAACCTGACTGAGTTAAGTTCAGTTATCTTGTTTTTCTCTTTCTCCAAAATTATTTCCTTAATTCTAAATCTGTATCTCTTGCTTTTGGCTCCTTTTCAGATAATATCTATCATTTACAAACAAATAATTTATCTAGAGACAAGTTCATTACAATGTAACTATCTTCCTGGGGATTGTCAGGAAGCTAACAGTGCTTATAAAAAACGTAATTAAAAAATTGATATTTTCAGCGAGTAGGTTACATACATGTATATTATTGGACGAAAAATCGCATAATAAAAAACAAAGCTGATTAATTACCGCACTGAAGCCCGTCTAGTACACTAAATTTCTTGCAATTTCGATTTTGGGAATAAAATGCGACATTTTGTGACCAAATTAATTATAAATTAAGCTGTTTTGTGATACGCAACACACCTGTCCTAGACACCGGGTGTCTAGCTTGGAAATTTAACCAAGGAGCTGCACGGTTTTGTTGAAAATTTTGTGGTTGTTGTCCACCAAAAATGGCCTGCGATCCCTGTGGATTTAAATTCGTCTGTGGATAGACACTTTGGGCTTGAAAAGCTCTTTGGTACACTGGATGCGATGCTAACGTTTGCCAGTAGTACATGTAAGAGCATAGCTGATAATAATATTGTTGATAATATTGAGCTGACATCCAGTAGAGAAGCATATTCCACGGTTCTTGAGGACTCAACGGGCGACTGGTGGATGGGTTTCCATTAAAATTTCCTTCTGTTTCGTTATTTGTTGCGTTTCGTTCTTCGTTTGTTGCTGTGGCGTCCGCCATGTTTTTCTCGTAGATCGAGGATTCAAAGAAGACTGGGTAAAACTGACGTTTGCGGAAAAAAAGTGAAGGGTAGTTCAACCAATCAAAAACGCACAAAAGTTTATGCTATTTCATATCGATAATCGACGTCAACGAATGGCTAAAAGGAAGAAAAGGAAAATGTTTTAAACCGATAACTCCCTAAATCTCATGAGTAATTCTACTCGTTGTCTATGATACCATTTTCATAATTTTGGTTTGGACAATTTAGTTTTAAACAAACCAATAACAATCCCCTAATTTATATTTCTCATAATTTCCATCCCTTGTCTATTTGTCATTTTATTGACATGTAAGGAGGAATTCTGTCTTGATCACTCATGGGCGTTAAAGACTTAAAACTAAAATGTTCAAAATAACAACAAATTCTCATAAAACAACAAAACAGTTTGAACACAAGACTGTTGTCCATATTAGTGTCTGACGATTCGGCGACTATAGGAAGAGGGGGTTAGTTCCTATAGAAACTGTGGTGCCGCGTCGGTGGAGGTAACAAGGTAATTTGGTTTTATCAACTAAGTACAAGTTGATAATGTATTTTTTCCTTCCCCTCCCTCTCCCCCGTTGCCCATTTTTCCACTTAACACCTACTCCCTCGGCAAATATTTCCTCGCCCCAATCCTCCGCAGTTACTAAATCTAAGATGGCGGCCTAATATGAAAATGAGCACTCGTGCGCCCAAAATACGCCGGCACTGCAGGCTACCGTAAAAAAGTTTAATAGCTGAGATTTCGAGTGTTAGCCCTTCTTAACCCTTCGCTCGAAACGTCAGCTATAAATTAAACTCTTTACGGTGGTCAGCTTACATTATCAACTTAGTTGATAAAACCAAATTAACTATAGGTATAAGTCTGGTTTGGGAGAGCTGATCATTCTCATTTTCCGTAATATCATTGGCTGTAATACCCAACTAATGAAAATCCAACCTCGTTCCCAGGGCCTTTTCCCTTAGCTCCACCCCAACTAAGCGAAAAGGCCCTGGGAACGAGGTTGATGAAAATCAGCTCACGACCAAACTTACTGATCCTGGGCCAGTAAAACACGCTCCTCTTTCCACGTGCGCACGCTCGTCTCGCGCTTCCACACTTGGGTTTAAAAAGGGAAAGTGGCAATAAGCAGACGAACAAAATATCATCAACAATCTACTGCACTAGTTTTATTCCTGCCTCAGCGTTTTACCAAAAACTACATAAACTAAAGAAGTGTCTACAAAATTATCTGAATAGCAGGCAGCGTTTAAAAAAAAGACCGATTAGTTATTTGGGATATCATCCTCTTAGATAATAACTAACGGGTGATAAATACTAATTTAGTGGCTCCCTTTTGGTTTGCAGAGACCAAATGCTTTGACTGTCTCAAAATAAAACTGATGAAACGATTTTTGATCCTGTAAGGCTGCATAGCTGATTGAGAAAAACTAAACAGTGAATGTACCCAGTTTTACTGAGCAGAATGTCGCTTTCCATTCGCGTGGATAAATGTAAAGACAAAATAAATCAAAACAAGACAAATTTTAAACAACTGATATGCTATGAGATCCCTGTGAGTTATCGTAAGTGATTTTGGTTCATCGCACAAGAGAGCCACCTCCAAAAATCATGATTATGTAAATATTAAGGTAATTATGGTTACATTTTGTATTAATAACCCAGCCATTTTCAAAGGACATCATAAAAAGACCAAGCTTTTCCCTTCCATTGGTATTTTATGACAGTAAAACTATCCTACACGAGCGAAGGTCACACTGCTGACCTGTTAATATCGTACAACACGAAAAGTGTTTCAAAATTGAAATTCATTCTGAATGGTTAAATAAACATTTCTTCCAACTACCAAATAGTAATAACAATAATAATCGTGATAATGGAAATGATAATGATAAAAAATTAGCAACGATAATATTGATGACCAACTTTGCTCATTTGGTTAGCAGATACAAGTTTTCCTCTTTTTCATTGCGTGGCTGGGTTTATACAGTTATTGAGCTGAACTTGAATTCTTACACTGAAGTATTAGATAAAATGCATTTTTATTATGAAACAGGAATACTACCATGTGCTGTTTTCGGTTGATCGGCGTATCAACCATACAGAGACCTCCGGGGTGTTTTGTCCGATAAAAAAAAGGTACCATCTCAAATAACCAAATGACTACAAGCTTTACATCAGTCGGCCACCGTGGTCTCGTCCTGCAAATGGTTCTGAGGGCTTAATCGAGATTTAACTCCCGCGAAACAAAGCTAATTCTTGTAGAGAATCAAAGGACACATATGAAGTCTCGCCTTCAAGAGGAGACTATGATAAGCACGGAAAAGAGCTATTCCTTGAACAACACTGTTTTATTTTCATGAATCAGTGTCTAACTATTTCTCAGTCCTAAATATGGACCTACAAGGGGACAACCAAAGAGTTATCAATCAAAAGTTCAACTTAAAAAAAAAAAATGCCATTTCTACCTGACACCTACAACGGCCGCGTAAATCTCACAAACGATTCTACCCTTTGGAAAGCTCAACTAGAAAAACGTTCATGTTTTGAGGATAAACAATGATCTAAGTAAATGTTTCATCAACTAAAGAATCAATAAAACCTGCCTGCATATCTAAGTAAATGGTACGCTTCGGTGTCGGAAATATTTCTACAGAGCGCTTGAGAGCGTATTGTTTTCCTTCCCTAACTCTGGTCCCGGTCCATATTCCACTTCCGGCTCCGTTGCCTCTTCTTTGTTTTGTTTGATGGACCAGTTGCTTGCGAACGCCTTGTTCTCCCGCCCTACTACTTCCGGCTGTGGTGCAGACCGGGTTTCCGGTACCGATACCTCCGCGCTGTCATGACTGATGGACCAGTCGCTGGAGAACGCCTTGTTCTCTTCCCCTATTTCCGGTTCCGGAGACAATTTATTCTCTTTGTCGTTAACGCAAGTGTTTACGGACACACTGTCTGGATCCTCCGCTTCTGGAGTACATTTTATTTCCAGGTCGGCCTCTGCTTCGTCCTGCTGGTCGATGGAGCCTTCCACGTCAGAAAGGAGGTCTTCTGGTAACCCAGCAAACCTATTAATGAAGAGGGGGGGTAAGTTTCTAAAGAAACTGTCGTTCTGCGTCAGTGGGGGTGACAAGGTAATTTTGTTTTATTAACAAAGTTGATAATGTAAATTGGCCACTGTAAAGAGTTCAAAAGCTGACGTTTCAAGTATTAGCTTGGGACGAAAAAATTACATAATTACGAGCTACGAAGACAGTGTATACAAAAAGCTTATAAAAAGCTAGAGCTATCTATCGGCTGCTTGATCAACCTCTATCACTGTAAAAGAAAATAGAAACCTTAAAAAGGCTATAGTGAATGCAACTGAACAAAATATGCTGCACTCATAACATGCCCCCGCCCCAAATAAAAAATAGTTTCTCTTCTCCAAGCTGCGAAGAAGGGATACCCATAATGCACCGCAAAGATGAATAGATTCTAGTGAGAGCCTCCAACATCCATTCTGTAGTTTGCCTTGCGGAATTTTGACTGACTGGTGCAAAGGAGTCGATTATATTTACCGTTTAAACCCTTAACCGGCCTTGGTTGATACATACAGTGATTCATCTTGAGGCTCGCCGAACAGCTCATGTAAGGTTTCCTCATCCATCTCAAGAGTCATCAAGTCGGTCTGTACCTCTTGGTCACACATCTCCACCATTTCTTCTTCCTCCTCCTCTGCTTTTCCCTCCCCTTCTTCCGCTTTCTCCTGGTCGTTCTCTTCTTTGCCTTCTAGGGATCCATCTTGCATCTCGGATCCGTTGTTCTCATCTTTGCCTTTATTTTCATTTTCCTCGGGAATGACATCAATAACCAAATGTTCATGCGCTGGGAAATTGACATAACGAGGCTCTGGTTCTTTCAACTCATCGTAGATGGCAAATTCGTCTTTGAATCTGACTGTAGGAGGGATTTTCCGGGATTTTTCGCGGTTCATGTCCAAGGGAACGGGAATGATGGCATAGGGGTCATCTTTCATTTCTTCATATATAGGGTTAGAGAAAGCGACTTTGTTTTCCCCTCCCATGGGGTAGGAGCTGAGTATTTTGTCCTCGTTTTGTGTGGAGTCGGAGTGGATGGACACTAGCTCCATCTTGCCTTCTTCAAAAGGATACTCCTTGTCGTCCAACTCTTCATCGTCCTCTCTCAAGTCATTTACCGGGAGGAGCAAGGACTGGAAACAAGCGAGCGAGAAGTGTGGATTCTTGATCCAATTCTTCAAAAATCGTAAGATGTACGAAAAGTACTCCACTGTAAGAATAAAACAGAAAAAAGATCATTTGATTTAGTCGTCCAATCTCTCGGTTACCTCTACATGACGTCTAGCTACCTAGATGGGTAATATTATTCGTGTTTGATTAAGATACGTCTGACAGAACATCTTCTAAATTGCAAATAACATACTCCTACTCATTTTAACAGGGTACTGGGCTTCAAGCTGAGGTACCTATAGATCTATGAACGACCATTAGTGCCTCCCACCCCTCCATTCCCTTCCCCCACCCCCTGAAGTGACATCTTACAGACAAGCTGTCCAACCACCAAAGTATTGGCTCCAAGAACGGTTATCTTGAATATTTCTGTATCCATGAGTGGATCTTTGAAAGGCTCCCTGTTCTCGGATGGGATTCTGCTCACGGCGCCAATTCCAAGGTTTATAAAAGTGACCGAGAGAGCTGTGACCATTAGCTTGTTCTCGAAGTAGTCTTGTATGGGAGCGATGTAGGCAAACATCATACCATACAGGCCTGCCAGAACACACGTGGCACCCACATAAGCCCTGCTCTCCTGTCCAATCAGAATCAGACCGGAAGTGAGGGTGATCTTGCGAGCCATCTCAATTAGTTCCCAGTACCAAGACGGTGTGTCGTAGTTTTCGTAAAGAAAGCGCAAACCAGTGACGATTTCTTTGTTAGGAAGGGACTCCTGGTATCTTTTTTCCTCCTTCTGGGCTATGATCAACAGCCGCTCTCTCCAAAGCACAGTGATCGAGAAGGCTGGGAGGGCAATTATGTAAATGATATTCAAGTAGGCCCCGATCAGCCGTAAGTGGTACTTCGTTCCGTGACAGCGAATGCCGTAGTCAGCTTTGAGGTAGTCGTCACACAGTGACTCTTCTTTGTCACGACAAAGTCGTCGGCAGGCGAGTGGTAGTACATTGGCCGTTTTAGAACACGTACTCAGATAGGTCACGAAGAGGAAGAAGAACAAATTCCGGTAGACGAGTTCTTTGGCGTGCGATATACGTTTGGCTTTTTCCATCTGGGTTAGGCTGTTACTCAGGGTGACCATTACATAACGCACGCCGAAAATGACTGCAAAGAAGGCAATTGCACAGGCATTCAATCCCATGCTGGCGTACAGACTACCAAACGCGTCCACATGGAGACTCGAGAAAAGACAATGGAGAGGAGCAATCTGAAGCAAATTCAGCTGAAGTAATTCTGAATACTTTGCGATATCCTCAAGCACGTTCGGCCATCTGACGAACGAGAAAGCTTCGAGTAAACCATATGTGACCTGGTAAAATCCGATTATGATTTTAAGTCTGGCGAAAATGATGTCAATCACAGGGCGTCCTTGGGCCTTTTTCGTCTTCTTTCTGCTGTACCAGACCAAAATGGCTACAATGAACAGAAAGAACCCGGCCAAGAGTCCTAACTGTATTGCCATCGTCTTCTTGGTTGGGCATTTGCTACAAACCTGTAGCTGCTTGTAGTACCCAAATTGACAAATGCCACAAACGGGACCCTCATAACCAGGTTTACAAGGATTATCGATGGCGTTCACGCCACCTTGACACGACTCTTCTCTGGGACATTTGGTTGGCCTCGGCATAGGATAAGTAAAATCCCTGAAGGAATCATCGAAGGATTCCTGAGGATTAATGAGATTTGTAGAGAAATTTCTGAAGCGTTCCCTGTGTGTTTCGTTCTGCCATTCCCACCAATAACCAGGCTTCAAGTTCAAAAAGTCCGTCTTGCAATCCAGGCCCTCGTGTTTGCCACCTCTCTCGCACTCTGTACATTTGCCAAAGATGTGGGTCCGATGAAATCCCTCCAAGCAATGGCACGCTATTTTTCCGGCCATTGAATCTGTATTTGTTCCTGTTAGAATAAGATAATTAGGTAAGAGTGATTCCATGTCCACAGATCTAAGCTTGAATTGGAATTGGGGGAGCTCAGTTTTGTGGAAACAGAAAAAACTCTGCTTTGAAGAAATACATTTTTAGAGGAATTTGATCATTATTTAGTGTGGGCTGTACTAACGAAGATTCGTTCTCTAAGCTAGATCATCCATGCTGAACAATTCTTGGGTTTTTAATCATTTACCTCGAGGGCACGCCCTGCAATGTTTATAGCGCGTTCCTGGATAGATGTCCAATTTGACATACGCGCCACGTGGACATGGAAGACACTGGTCAGCAACATAACCAGCACTGTCGGACAGAAAACCCCCTGCGAAAGAATGCCTTGAAAATTAGTCATACTGACTTATAGTTTCTCCTGATTTCCTAGTTCAAGGGAATGACGAGAAGCGGACTTAGCGCCTCCACTTTAGCTTAGCTGAGGTGAAGTCGATCAACGGATGCTCTACTAGGCCATGCAAAGGATTAAATAGAGAGGCACAGGGTCATTAGGCCCAGAGGGCCACATGGTCACAGTTTTACTGCCGTCACGCGCTTCGATTCCCTCTTAAAATAAAGTTTATTGATTGATTGATTGATTGAAATAATCTGAGTAAAGTAAAAGAGTTAACATTTTTGAACTTAGTTAATATTTAACAACTATTCGCAGAAGTAGAGGTGACTTGTTGCTTAAGCGTGTAATAAAACTGCGAGATAATATAGCACAAAAAGATGTTTGCAACTAGTTTGTCCCTGCAACAATTGCAATATTTTACGGGCGCAAATACTGCGCCACTGAAAGGTGACTCGGAATACGCGCTGATAATCGCAGTTGAGTGAACCAATAAAAACACTAGAAATGCAATGTTTGGAGTTTAAAATTCAATATTAGAGGATATTCAGAGTTTGAGTAGCCAATCAGAGCCCGTTTAAACGTCATCCACCGCTTTAGTATACTTCATCAGTTACTACAAGAGCAATAAACTACCTGGTGGACACTTTTTGCATCCTTCGCCTTTAAGAGAATAAGTCCCCTCCGGACAGGGCAGCAGTTTGTAGTGATGGGTTATATTCTCTGCGTCATAGAAGTGCTCTATTTGTTCAAAACCCAGGTTCAAGAAACTGACCAAGAGATCCAATCTCGCTCTTTCGTAAATCTTCCCTGATACGCTGACCATTTCCACGTTCGAGGCATTAGGATTCCTGCAAAGAAAAATGGGGGTTTTGTTTAAGATCAATAACTACAATTTATCTCCCCCCTCGGGGGGAGGTCTGAGGCAATAATATGGTTTCTAGGGGGGCAACGGAAGGGGATCAGTCGTCACTAACAGAGTATAAAGAGGGGACTAAAGGAAATTGACTGCCAGTGTGACATAACCAAAATCCCCTAACTCCCCCCTCCCTAATAGATAGATGATGACCGGTGCCTTATATCCAACTGATATAATGGAGGTATATACTGTGTGATATCGCGTTATGTTCCGTGATTCTATGCTATGTGTTGTGATGCGTGATGCGTGATTCTATGCTGAACTAAATAATATCGAGTTGTACTTTATGGTAGGAAGCCATACTGCCTAATGCTGGGCCGTGCTGTGTCGTGTCGTGCCGTGCTGCGTGGTGTGTGATAAGTGATGCATGATGCGTGATGCGCTTATTTTGTTGTATGGTCTTGATGCGTAACGATGTTTGATGCTGCTTAGCAATATGTTATGTTAAACTTCGCTTTTCGTTTCTACTAAGAAAGTTATGCACATCCCTGTTTTGTAACTCGGAGCGCAGCCGTTGAGTGGGAGTTCTTTTTCTTTGTGCAGATAAGAACTTTCAAACGTTTTCTTACTATAGAAGCGCAGCAGGAGCATTCACATCATTCTTTGGTAACATTCCACCCCTCAAAAAAGTCTGCTCTTAAAGTTTTTGAACCAAAACCCATAAAACAAAGAATTTTGTTTGTGCACTGACAGATAAATTCTGCAAAGAGTTTTTCTTCTTTTCGTGTAAAATCGCACTATGCCAATGAGTTCGTCATTCATTGTCCTAAAACAGAATAAAGCATTGTTTAACAGGGTGGCAAAATAGTTACTGACAATAACAAGATATCCTAACTAAAGAACGTTTCGAGCCGGAAGCTCGTGCTTACAAGAGGTGTATCCTCAACAATGCTTTCATCGGGTTCCGTTCACCATTTCTAAACACGTTATTCTTGTGACAATTTTGATTTACTGTTCAGTCGGCTATTTTCTAGCTGGATCAGTTACATTTACAGACCTTGCCTTTGATTTCAATTAATTGAGTGTAATTAACGCAGAACCAAATTAATGGCTATGGTCATGCATGCAAACAGAACAAAGAGAAAGATCAGAGGAAGACATTAAGAGCCTAGAATAAAAACACACAGAACTTGCACTTCCGGCTCTGACCGTGCAAAAATAAACCCTCACATTCATGAATGGGTATACCGTTTCCTCTGATTTGAAGAGTAGGTACAGATTTCTAAACTAATCACAGTGCGTGGCTAAGAAATCCAGTGAAATCCGGAATTACTTAGCTCGCCAAATAAGTGGAAAACTGCTCTAATTAAAAATTTTATGCACAAAGTGTTACGTTACAGTTCATGAGAATCGTCATTCCTGATGCCATAAAAGGATTCGAGATTCAATTCTGGTACATTTGTCCGGATCATATATCTGAAGAAAGAGGTAAAAAAAAAAAAAACTCTCCGTTATGCTGTTTCTATTCTTCTGTCTCGCAATTATGTTGCGTAGTTGTTTTTTCAGTTGTTTTTTTTATTTACTGCTATGACAAAGAAATTCTACCCTTCTCAATGTAACCGCCTCCCGGTTAGCTCAATGGATAGAGCGCTGGACTGATGTGCGGGAGGTCGAGGGCTCGAGCCCCGGCCGGACCAACACTCAAGGTCTTAAAATAATTCAGAAGAATATGCTGCCTTTCTATAACATCAAGAAATGGTTTACATATTCTAGTCTAGGAGACGTTAATTTCCCACACACGAGATTACTGTGTGATGGATGTCCTCCCCTGGGGTGGGATGGGTGGCTTGTTGTCTTGCGTTTCATACATGAGTCTCTCTGGTTCGGGCAATATGGGTAACCATGCCCCACGTTAAGACATTAAACTTTGATTACTATTACTATTACTATGCACGCGTAACTCATGTATCCCCCTCGGAGGTTGCTTGACCTTTATGTAACTCATGTCTCCCCGCTGGGAAGCCAACTCACATGATTACTCCATCGGGCGGCTGCTCATTTTCGTCAAAACCAAAAACGTGTTTCTCAAGTTTTCCGATTTCATTATCGTTCAAGACTCTAAAGAGAAAAAAAA